TGCGATGCTGGTGGGGTTGAACGTCAGTCAGATATTATTATCATAAAACAGGAATAGACGCAAACTGAATAACAAATAATTGACTTAATAACATCTAGATTAAGTCATGAAAAAGAACAGACACCAACATGATAGACTTGAAAACATGTAGATACAATCATGAAAGATAATAGATACCAATTAATCACGGCAGACTTAAAAAAAAAATACACAGAAAATATGATGAAACAGAATAGAAATCAACTGCAGAAGTCACGGTGAACTTGAAAATAGATAGATAAAATCACGACACTGAATAGACGTCAACCGAAGTATTCGTAGTGAACTTGAGAACCCTAACATGCAAAACGATGAAACGAAGGAACAATTATTTCCTAAAGTGAATATCTCTTGCCAATGGCAAACTATATTGTTGCACAAAAGTAACTCTTAGTGACTTAAACTGAGATTATACCTGCCAACTGGTGCTACTGCATATCTGTGGTAGAGAAAAACTGCGCACCTAAAGAGATGCACTTTGTGTGACAAAACAAACAAACGAAGAGATTAAGAAACATTACTGACTACTGACAATTCAGAGCCTTAAGAATTGTGAACACACTTTCATAATCTCAGCATACTAAGGTTCCAATTCAGCTGATGTGATTTGTTAGCAGGGCGATTTGCACTGTTTTTGACAACATTATCAGCGTTTTACCCACCGTTCAATAAGCAGTAGTCGACTGCTGAACGTATAATTCAATATTGTAATCTCACAACAGCAATATATGCTGGGGATGGATTGTGACGGCCTGTGAATGAATTTACTTTGTACTGTTCCTCAACAAACAACTGCCCATCCATAGCAGTCTTAAATGTGCGTTCTTTGTACTGTTATTTTGCCTGAAGGGTTGGCACATTTTTAACTTTCCAAATCTTAGTTTTCCACTGCGATATGATAAGGCATGGAAATCATAAAAACCTGGCGATACAGTTAGGAAGGCCAGAGAGGATTTCACTCTTCTCCATAGCGCAAAGCCGAGCCGGTGTATTGTTACCTGCTACACACATACTAAGTGACCTACATAGTAGCAATAACTAATCGATCAGCCAATTTGTCGACTCTGGGCTGCTACCTGATGGTTTACCACCCTAAGATTAAAAAAAAAAATATCTTTTAGTCTAGATGGCAGACCAACTGGGCAGATCTCAGATACCCTATTCAACCTGCAAAGATGACATAATTAGGTCGCCTGTAACGCTGAACCAGCCTAAGGTATCTTCCAGTCCTGTGGCTGTAAAGATGTATAATGTCACTAGCTAAGCTGGGGGCTAAATAGGATTTTCTGTGCTGTATGTTTTATGTAAAAAAAAAAAAAAAAAGTAAAGATCCCCTTTCGCGCTTTTAGGCGTATCGGGTATATGGGAAGAGCACCCATATTTTTTACGGATCATCAGCACTGGGTGGGTAATGTGGTCAGCATTACACTGGCCGTATTTACCTCCCCATGACAGCAATCCTAGTACCTACTTTAGACTGGGTCGATCTGCGATGCCCCATACCATGATAAAAAATCCATGCAGCCAGCAGTGGGTTTCGATCGTGGTACGTTGGAATTACGAGTTGAACTCCCAACGCCTAAGCCACGGAGTATGTTTTATGTGGAGGGGGCCCAAAAAAAACCGACGCCTTTACATTTGGTATTGACATAGGATCAGCACAATTTTAGAGATTATATATACAGTTGACTGGTGGACAGACAGACAAGGAGACATATTTCTTTTGATGAAACAATGTGTAAATAATAGCTTTGATGTTTACTCTATTTTATTTGGAAATAAATTTTTATTAATATACATTTCCCTGTGGTGATTTTAGAAGTTATTTATTTTCTACAGATTGTGAAGTTGATTGTTGTGTGTGTGTGCGCGCGCATGCATTGTGTATGTATATATATGTGCGTGTGTGCGCGTGTGTGAGAGACACGGGTGATACAAACACAGAGAAAACCGTCCAAAGATATTGGCACGTCACCATATTATGTAATGGATCTAGATGGGCGATCAGGTAAACCTTCCTACTCTCCATCTTCTTCTTCTTCTTTGCGTTCACTGGCTGTAAACTCCGGCGAAAGGTTCTGGTTGTTCGTCCACTTCTGGACTGCAGTCCCGTTCCAGAACATGAGTGTTGCGTGTGCATCCGTTTGACAGATCTGTATGCAGACTGTTGGTTCCTTGCCTCTCAGGCAGATACACTCCGACTTCGAAAAAAGCTCCCAATTAGTCGACTCTTACGACATGCTTTTGGGTAGGCAGTGGGTCTATTCTTGTTTTTTCCCATAGTAGGGCCCCGGAACCTACACGGGGGCTACCCTCCATCTACTTCTAAGGACATTTCTAAGTGCACATTTGAGGCTTAGTCGACCAAGGGAACTAACTCAGTTATAAATATCCACATCAAAGCTGATTATTTATTATTTTTTTTTCTTCTCATTAATTTTTAATTATTTTTCTCCTTGTTTTTCTTATTTTTATGTAAATCACAGTAAACATGCCAACCAACCTTTGACTGCATTTAAAAAAAAAAAAAATAAGAAAAAGAAAATGGAGAAGACAGACTGGAAACAACAATTTGTATCAAATATGCTGAGAAGCAGAATATCAACTAGTTTTAGCTCATGTTGGAACAAGGCAGCACTAGTTATCAATAAAAACTACAACTATGCAAAGTTTTAGCTCATGTTGGAACACGGCAGCACTAGTTACTAGGGCTGTACAGAATAGTGATTTTCACTATTTGGCCGAATACGAATAATGTATCATCATCATCAGGTGCCTTGCCGACTGGTGTTGGCGATTTCGCCTCGCCACAATCTGTGATCTCCTGCAGCATGTATCAGTTCATGTGCTGACACACCTCCATGACATGCAACAAGACTGTTAAGAATCTTCTCTCGTATTTTTCTATCTCTCCTTCCACAAATCTTTCCAGTGGTCACTACATGTTCCATTTTCACTCTTCTTATAAGATGGCCGAAAAATGATGACTGTCTCCTTCTGATGTCTGTGATTAATTGATTAGTGATTAGAGGCTCCTGCCTCTTTCAAAACCTAGTGGTTGCTTTTTTTAGGCTGTCCAAGGTATTTTAAGCATTGTTCTGTAAAACCACATCTCTGAGGCCTCAAAAAATTGTTTGGTCTGGCTACCGATTGTCACATAGCCATATGTTAAAACTGGATGTATGTAGCAAGCAAGACAAAGATATATTGCATAAGATGTTCTTTTATTTTTTTATAAAATGCAGTTTTTGCCTGTCCTATTTTGTTTTTTATTTTAGTAATGCATCTTTCATCTGATTTTATCCATGTGCCAAATTCGCATTTAAATCATCGTTCGTTCAGGCGTTCGTTCGATGTAATTTAAATGCACCTTCATATTCTCGTTCGCAATATCTTCAATTTGATTTGGGCAAAGACACCACGAAAGAACGAAAAAATACATGCTCTCTTTCTCTCTCTCTCACACACACACACACAGATACACATGCACAAAAGCAACAAAAAAGAACGCATTGCCTTTAAAGATACGTGCTTACTTGACGAGGCTAACAGTTAATATTGTTCAGACCACATTTTCCACTTCAAAATTTGAGCAAAAATGTAGTCACAACCTTACTTATCTGCTCCACCTTTACGAATACAGATGGAGGATTAGTCGCATGTCGGGATAAATACAAAGACAATTTTTAGCAAGCTGCGGTTGGCATTTTATGCAGTATGATACACTTTGAGGGGGGGAAAAAAAACTTTTTAGACAGTGGCGAGGAAAGACAATTTAAATTTTAACTTTCAAGTTTTTTCCTGCCTTCTTTAACACAACAGTAGCGTTGCCTAAATCTGTCGTAGCAGAAAAAAACTGCGACCCGGCTGCGTGGTAACAGCGCCTGCTGACTCTTCCAAGGCATTACAGCAGAGGTTCTAAAACTGGGTGCGTATGCCAGGGGTGCCGCGGCGAAAATCAAGAAAAGTCGGCTATATATTGTGACATTATTAATGAGAGAGTTATTTCAGTCCATCGCAGTGTACGCAGAAATCACTATTCGTATTCGGCCCGACCTTCACTACTCGGCCGAAAATCAAACAGCTTTTAGGTCCACTATTCGGCCCCGAAGCGAATACGAAGCGAATATTCGGTAAAGCCCTACAAGTTACCAATAAAAACTACAACTATGCAAAGTTTTAGCTCATGTTGGAACATGGCAGAACTAGTTACCAATTAAAAACTACAACTATGCAAAGTTTTAGCTCATGTTGGAACACGGCAGCACTAGTTACCAATAAAAACTACAACTATGCAAAGCTTCATCGAAAGCAAGAAGTACAAATGAATGAACTTTATTTTTTAAAGGGTCACAAATTGGGCATGCAGTTCCCACTGACATTTGGTTCTTCAAAACACTCATCTTATTTATAGGGGGCCGCCTAATACTCTGGGGTAAATGGAGGAACGTCGCTGGAGCTACAGAGTTTTGTGTGGACGGCGACACAGGCGGACAGTTTCTTATCACCTGTCCGTACTGGTGGCAGAGCCTTTATAGTTTGTAACCGTGTGCAATGACGCTGGTTCATATCTCCTGACTTTACCTTTACTCATCTTATATACTGTAATTATATTTTATCTATAAAGCAGGTTATGTTAATATTACTATGTGTGTATAAATATTTATAAACAAACATACACATACATACATATATATTATAAATACGAAGAGAAATATATAAAACAACAGATGTGTGCGACATTAAGGACACCGTACGTTAACAAGGAAAAACAAAAGCCAGAGGCATCCATCAGAGGCTTGAGTTCCAACTATTTACTCTCCTGAAGCCTAAACTAACAGCAAAACTCAAAGGTTATAATGATGACACAACACTGCACTTTAGACAGTTGCTTGAATCTACATTTCTCTCTCTCACACACACACACATATATACACGCAGGCGCACACACACACACATAATCAATTATTAAATGTAAACACAGGGGTTGATTCAGCTGCAATGCTTTCTATGCCACATTCATCAGTTCCACGACGGATCCAGAAATAACCACTTAGACCCCAAGATGTGCCCCAACTATTTTTAACAATCCAGTATTTTTCTCCCAAATTTGTGTCTACACCCCAGCCAACTATAAGGACAACATGATTTGTAATTTCAAAAGGATTGAACCGGTCGCTCTGTACGCCATGCCTCTTGTGTACGTATATTCCAGACTCGTAATTCATGAAATCATTGTACACCTCGAAGCTCACAGCAAGGGGACCATTAGTGTACACTGCTTTCTTCATTAAAGCTTCATTGCAGCTGAAAAGACAATGAGACATTAAATTATATTTTGTCCAATAAAGAAATGCAAAAATATTTACACAACAAGAGTTTTTTTTTTTAATTTTTTTTAACTGACCTGGCTTCTCAGGTCAGTTGGGTCTAAACTGGGTACAAGGATGTTGTATGGGAAGTAAAGGTGTCTGGCATGACAATGATGACTATTGATCACCCAATGTGTTCCTATTGGTATATACAAATGTTATGTTATTACTTTATGCTCAAAACGCTTCAAAGCATCAAATGGCTCTTTAAATTTTTTTTTTTTTTTTTAGAAACCAAATTGGGCTGCCAGATTTCTTTAGTGTATCTTGGCTCAATGTAATAAGTACAATCATACAATCACAATGGTTAAGCATCTTCTCTGTCAGAAAGTTTTGGTTGTTCTGAACGGTCTTGTTCCAGATCTTGAATTTTCCATGCCCATCCATTTTACAGATCTGGCTTATTTGTATGCAGACCGTCTGTTCCTCGCCTCTCAAGCTGTGCACTCTGACTTCCAAGGAAACGCTCCTAACTAGTCGACTCCTATGACATGTTTGCTATGGGGCTGTGGGTCTATTCAACTTCATTCAAAATGGGGCCCTGGGAACCACATGTGGAAGTTAGGTTTCATCATCAAGTACCTTATTAACTGGCATAGGTGATCATCCTTCTCCACATCTTGTGATCTCCAGTACATTAGTATGTGCACCTTTCCATGCCAGGACCAAATGCTCAACATATTTCACAATGTTTTTGTCTACCTTTCAATTAATGTTTCCAGTTTTTACAGGATTCTGCATTTTTTTTGTTTTCTTGTCGATTAACACATAAAGGTCAAAGGAAATTGACATCAGAACTGAACTGAAAATATTTAGCTTTAATGTCAAATCAGTACTGCTGCTGTATGGAGTGGAACATGGAGAACCAAAACAATTACTATAAACTAAAAACATTCATTAACTGGCGCCTGTGCAGAATAGAGGGGATTAAATGGTAAGATAGAATTACTATTGTGCATCTATGGCAGAGAACTAAACAAATTCCAGTGAATCAAGAGGTGAGAACAGGGTGTTGGCATTGGATAAGACACAACCTGAGAAAATCTGAGAAAATACAGCTAGAATGTCTATACACTGAAATCCATAGGGGCATAGAAATAAAAGCAGAACAAAAAGCAGCTCTCCTTTGAATAATGGTCCCAAATGATCTACGCAGAAAGTGAACCCAAACAGAGCCTCATTACGTCCTGCCCTATAAACATTTAAAAGGCGTAGCTCAGGAAAAAATAAGGAACGAAAAGTGTAAGGAAAAGGGCAAAGTCTACTACTTACCGAAAATTAAATCCTTTCTATGTGAAAATTGTAGCACAGAAGTTGCAAATAGTGTGCGAATATCTGTTCTTTCTCGCTGTTCTTACAACTCAGCACGGCTTGTCCGCGATTCTCGTTCCTGGCGAGACATGATCAGTAATGCGCGGTTTAAGGTACGCACATGTCGCCTTGGGACAACTTCAAACCAGCAGCCGCCACGATGGCGCTCCACTATCCCGACCACCCCTTGACCGTGGCGAATGCGAACCCGCTGGTACTTCCGACAAAAGAAAAAGCTCCTCTAAATTGTAGAATTTTTCCCCGGCGACTATAGTGCCACCTCCGAGGGTATCCCCCGCGCCGCTACCTGCGTGTCACTAATTTTTTTCGTCCGTAGTTTAATCGCCGTAAAAAAATCCGTTGCGTTTCGCGAAAATGTCGTGCGCAATTAATCCTACTTTTGACACGGTTGATTCGCTGCAAAAGAAATGCGAATTTTAGTCATGAGTGAGGCTCTGTTTGGATTCACTTTCTGTGTAGATCTTTTGGGACCGTTATTCAATGGAGAGCCCAAAAAGCATATGGATTAGGAAATTAGAGATGAGGTTAATCAGATTGGGAGGACATAGGGTGAGCTATATTCCACAGCCAAGGATAAAACAACCTGACATGAGTTGAGGATCTATGTTCCATGGGGGGGGGGAGGTAAAGGGAGGAAAAAGAAATAAGGCAAATAAAACATAAGGCAAACACAGACAGTCTATTGTCTGCAACAGAAAGATCCAATGGTGTGTGAATGAGCTTTCTTTGTTCTATTTCACATAAAAGTCTGCTCCTCCATAACAGGCATAAATGTGTTTACTTTGTACTGATGTTTTGTTTGGATGACTGGTTTTTTGGTTGGCACCTTTTCATCTTTTCCAAGGTGTATCACTGGGCTATAAGGAGATATAAGAATCACAACCCATAGTGATACAATTAAGACAAGAGCTTAAATTCTTCCTCTCCATAACATAAAACCTGTGTACTGTTCACTGGTACATATATATTAAGTACCCTACATAGCAATAAATGTGTTCACATCGTACAGCTGCTTACCTAAGATATCAGCCACAAGTCATTTTACTTACCCTCCGTAGTAGCCACCTACATATCTGTAGTCAGTAAAGTAGTGGCGTGGACAGCTTGTATTTGTTTTGCAGATTCCATCTTCTCCAGTATATGGATTACAAGCATCCAAGACCAAACCATAATCTTCTGCATATTTACCACCAACCAGATAAGGAAATCCACCGTTACAACCTACAGAAAGAGTTAAAATTAACCACTGCTTTGGTAAGGATGAAAATTAACCACTGTGTCCCCAGAATTGCAAGTAAAAGCTGAAAATGTTAATACTGAAGAACTTTAACCATTTTATCAATATTAGCTCGAAAACCCACACTTTCTGTTGGGTCACATCCCCTATACATGAGACTTTCTGAATTGTCTATAGTGACCTGATTATTAATGTTATTTTTTAACTTCCGCAAACATTTAGGAGGTCAGGATATTAATAGATTAACTAAAAGTAGCATTCAGAGCAGTGGTTCTCAACCTTCCTAAGGCGGCGACCCTTTAATACAGTTCCTTCTGTTGTGGTGACCCCCAACTATACAATTATCTTTGTTGCTTTTTCATAACTTCAGAGAATATGTGTTTTCTGATGGTCTTTGCGACCCCTCTGAAAGGGCTATTCGGCCCAAAAAAGGGTAGCAACCCACAGGTTAAAAACTGCTGATTTAAAGAGTTTTCCTATGAGCCAAATGGCTCCTTTACAGCCAAGTTTCTCCTAAACTTCAGCGATACAGGTCATAGAGTCATGGCATGAGTCATCCGACACATATGTTTTTCTAACCTCCCGGGGATGTATTCTATTTAATGCTTCACCCTATTCATATTTATTACTCCTTTCATATATCTTGATATATGCAAGGAGAAAAAAACATTGTATGCAGATAAATACATTTTTATCAACGTTATTAGTTACCTGTGTAAATGTGTGTATTTTGTTTTTGATAACAGATTATTTTCTGGAATTCTAATGGCGTCATAACTTATTTTTTTTTTAGTGTTCCTAAGCAAAATGGTTAAAAAACTAACAATTTATATTATTGCTATTGGAACATTTGAAATGACTCAAGACTGAATTGGCACCATGAGAGCTAATAGGTTGAAATGGCTGGGGCATATTTAGAGAATGTCAGATGACAGAGAGGTAAAAACTGAATACACAAGGAAACTGAATGGTCATAGGTCAGCAGGCAGACCAAGAAGACAATGGAGAGATAATGTCCAGACAGACCTGCAAACACTTAGTGATATCAACTGGAAAGAGAAGGCTAACCAGAGAGATGAGTGGAGACCGGTGATATCTGCAGCAATGAACCTCAAGGGCTCAGAATGCTGAAGAAGAAGAAGAAAGACTGGATTTATTTCAATCACTTGCCATTTTCATAATGACTGTAACGGATCTGCAGTAATGTGTCTTGTTCTGTTTGTACATTTCCTCATTTTGCTGTTGATCCTCTCACTGCCAACAACTGTTCCCTCAGTGGGGTTTTTCCCTCAATATGGTTTTTGTAAGAGTGTTAAATCTTTTAAATGTCTCTTTTTTCATTTAATTCAACATCTTTTTTTTTCATTTATAGTCTTTCCAGAACTTCTGGACATGATTGCTTTTGAAGACTTTTGAATAATATTTGAACATACATTCTTTAAGACACAGAATATTTGACTGCAGTATGATGCCTTTTTTATACTTTTTGGGGGGAGCACTAGTGGCACAGCAGTTACAGGCCCACCTGTCGGTGCAAGTATCTTGGGTTCCATATCGAGTCAGACTGTTTTCAAAATGACCTTGGCTGCCAGGTCGACGCAGCCTAAAATGAGTAAAGTCCTAGGAAGTAAAGACAGCAAGTGTGATGTTTATCGCAACACCCACTAAGTGCCAGTTGGTGTATAACATTTAAGTCTGTCATTATATGCCCTAGATGTCACAGGCTTAAGAAGGGTCCTTTACTTTATTTCATTGTATTGTTACAGTACTACATTTCTTAGAACATAAATGTTTTGTACTAAAACACCAACCATTTCTATATCTGGACCCATTTACTGCAGTAAATGTTTTGTACTAAAACATTTCTGAGGACTTACAATAAGTGTTTTAAAGAATAATACTTTATAAATTTTACAAAATCTACAGAAACAATAATACCTTGGGAATAAGGACTGCACTCCACAATATCCTGTGTAGAGAATACAGGCTTCTGTGTGTTGTTTGTGAGAATACGAACACGTGCTTCAGCCATAGCTAGAGAACCAAAAGCATAACAGCTCCCACAACCACCTGAGAATAAATATGGTACAATATTACATGCGATTTCTAAAGTTTTCCACGCAGAAGGTGGAATAGTGTAGATATACGTCTGCCTGTAACATAAGCTAGATTGAGTTCACTGTGTGAATGGTATGGCCTTTAACAAAATCAGAAAATTTCATTCACACATGTGAAACATGAACCTTCAGATTCACACCTGAAAGGACAATACAAGCACTTAAACTGTGATCTTTAACAAGGAAACTGAATGATAGTTTTTTCGGGATCATTATTTCTAAGAATCCTGTTAAACAAAAGTTAAAAGACAAAATTCAATGAGGTGGACATGTAATACGATTTACTGAGGTTTCCCAAAATCATATTACAAGGCTCAGTACAAGGCAGGAGGAAATGAGGCAAGCCAAGAAACCATGGATCTAAAATTTTGCTGACCGGACAGATCTCAGATATGAAAAGATTTTAAGTCCAAAAGTTTTATCACCGAGCTACTGAGTGCTTGATGTCAGCTGTGGATTTCATTTTGAGTGTGTTTTTGTTTTTCTGTCGTGCCCGCAGCAGTTTTGTGTTATGATGTTCAGTAAAAAGGCAGGTTGCTGATTATGTTTGGAATAGTATGTTATTATGCAGTACTGCATGTACAAATGTGACTGACTGCTTGTGTGTACAGTCAGCATGCTGCAATTCTGATAGGAGACAGTTAGTGTTGGCACATCTGACAGCTGCCTTATGCATCTACCTTGCATGTACAATCTTCAAGATTTTGCTGGGACTGATATGTTTTTCACTAGTTTTTCAATAAATTAGTGAAAGACATTTTCTGTGACTTCAACTGTTTGCAGCCAAGTAGGAACTTAAGCTAACGACTGTTATAAGGTCTTGGATTTGAATCCACATTGGGGTTGAAATTTATAAATGGCCTTGGGCTCCAAGATCAACCTAACCAAAAAGAAATCGAGAAATGACCTAGGATACATCTGACTTGTTTTTACTTGAATTATTGATGATAAATGTCTGTTAGTCGGCCTGGACCTTTAAGGGGAGGGAACAAGCTGGAAAATCATAAATTATGCAAGTTTTTGCCAATGGTTAAAGACATCTAACTATGGTCAGATCTTTATCTTTTAGGATACATCTGACTAGTTTTTACTTGAATTATTGATGACAAATGTCTGTTAGTCAGCCTGGACCTTTAAGCAAGTTGTTATAGAACAGAATAATTGCTCATAACATGCAAGTAGAAACAGCATGTCTTGTGAACATAAATGATAAAAGACAAACATCAAAACTGAACTACAGCAGGCTCCACTTGAGTTCATAAATTGTACCAGGAAATATTCTAGAAAGTAAAGGTGGCTAGCATGACACTCGCTACATCCCCAATCAAGTATACAATCTGAGACTAGAACTAAACACCCAGAAGAGCACCTGGCTGAGGGGACTCTCATGTGGGCAGCCTGGGGTCTAATCCTCAATAATATCATGGCAGTTTTTCTGCTGGGAGAAAAATACAAATCTCAGCTTGTCCACTTTGTGGCGACTGCACTAGCTATGTGGCTCTAAATCAGGGGTCAGCAAACGATGGCCTGCGAGCCAAAACTGGCTCACCGAGCAATTTTTACTGGCCCATAAGGCTGTTGTAAAATTATTACATAATCTAGCCATTGAGATCACAAAATAGTAAAACACAAAAACATGTTCATATGCAAAAAGAAAAATAATCTAAATAATAGCATTCATTAAAAAAAAAATGAAAACCCAAACAGTGATAACAAGAAACTGATGTGGCTAAATCTTTGACCCAGCTAGTGAAAAACATGTTGGTGACAAACTCAGACATGAGGAGACAATGTCTGTCAGAGGACATAAATAATAAAATATAAGGCAATGCCCATTCTTTTTCTCTGGCCTTAGATTATAGCTCAAAAGTATTATCTAACAAAAAAATCCAGGCGTTATGTTTATAATGGCTAGGTTGGTAATTTTAAATTGGCATGAGAACCAAAAAAAGTCCCCGCCCCCCCCCCAACCCCCGCTCTAAATGCTTCCCTAAAAAGTGGTGAGTATAGGCAGTAATTACAATTTTAGAGGCTGTATACCCAATAATCCACAAGGCATGAATAACTATCATTTACTTTAACTATTCCATTCACTTCTGGAGAAGCTGTTACATCATGCATTGCTACAAGATTTGTACCTTGGTTCCTGACTGGCGAAACAAAGTTGACGCCATCGACATTCCTCCAATCAAACTGTTGTGGGAGACTCGCCATGAGCTTCCGATGCTCAGCTGTTAGAGGCGCTGACTTAGGACGACTATAGATTTGATGGAGAAAAAACAACAGACTGTTAATTATGAACAAATTATGAGTACAGTAAACATTGTTAAAGTAAGATGGAAAGTGTGCACTGACAAAAGACACTGTTGGATCAAACAGACAAGGGCACTGATAAAGCAGATAATATAAGACAAAATGAAAAGTATTAGACGAAGAAGGAAAGTATACATTAGGGTAGTATTAAAATAAAGAGGGACTTGCGTGGTCTCAATGCATGGTGTCCGCCTCGAGTGCTAGAGGTCCCGGGTTCAAGCCCTGGTGAAGGCTGGGATTTTTTTCATGTGGACTTCTAGTAATTTCCCCTGGTCTCTGGGTAGTAGGACCAGACACCTGTGTGTATTGTTGCGCACGTAATAAATCCTTATGCAGATGGAAATCGAAAAGAGTAGCCTAACGGGACTTCCTGGGTAAAATTTGGGGTTAAAAATCTACTCAAAGTATTTCAGGATCCTCGCCTGTGCAACAGAGTTCATGCACTGTGCTGAGATTCTTCAGACTCAGGCTTGAGTTAAAAGAAGAACGAAGCACTTATGGGTTACACCCCTGTGCGATGATGTTGATCCACTGAATAAACGTGAACATAAAACAAAGAACACTTTTCATTAATTTGGTACATAAGGATTATGCTCTGGACCCATATATTTATGGACCAATCAGCACTCAATGAGTTTTGTAAGTCAATATGATTTCACTGGATCCCAGTGTGGGATCCAGGGCCCCATCACAGGGAAAATTAGAATAGAAGCAATGTGCCTAATAAGCATGTCATAAGAGTCAACTAATTAAGGATGTTTCCTTCACAGTCGGAGTGAATCTGTCTGACAAGCGAGGAACCATAAGTCTTCGTGCAAATAAGCCAGATCTGTAAAATGGATGTGCATGCAAAACTCAGGTTCTGGAGCACAATTAAAGTCAAGAAGTTGTTGAACAACCAGAACTTTCTGACTACATTTATATCACAGATTTCAAAGAAAGACAGAACTGAATTTTGCTCCATGTTCTGTAAAGATTCTGTGAATAATACCTCAAAATTCTAGATCCACGACCTCCTGCCATACTGATGAAGTCCTCATTAGTAAGACCCTCAAACTGGGAATATCTGGTCGCTTTCCAAAATGTCTGTGCTTTGTTGATAGAAGCTACCATTTCTTCTGAATTTATGCTGTAAAGAAAGCAAAACTACAATGCCTATAATTTGAAGAAAAAATGTTAAACATTTATTCAGTTAATATTTATGTATTTTGATACATAAATAGGAAGAAAGAACTAGAAACTAAATACAGCATTAGAGTGCAAAGGCATTAAACAGGCATCTAAGTTTAAATATCTGAGAACATCATTTATCAAAGATGGTAAATTAAGTGAAGAAATAAACATCTGATACAGTAAAATAAACCAAGTATTCTTACAACACAAGACAATCCAAATCAGCACAAAGAAACATCTCATACAAAGCATATTTATTCCAACATTATGCTACCAGTATCAGATGTGGTCACTCAGAACAAACTTGAAAAAAAATTTAGTAACCGTGGAAATGAGATGTCTGAGAAGGTCTGCAGGAGTGACCATAAGAGACGAAATCAGGATTGAGGTCATAAAAAAACAAGTCGCCACAGAACCAATTCTAAATTACACACAAAGGCAGTAAACCAGATGGTTTGCACAGTTATAGAGAATGCCTTGTGACGCCATACCATGTAAGGCATACACGAAAAGAGAAGAAGGATGCAGAGCATGAGGCAAACCAAAATGTGTCTATGATAAAGTTGACCAGAAGAGCAAGAAGCAGAGCCTAACATCTCCCTCAACTCTTCAAGCAGTAAAACAGGTAGTGAAGTTAAAGAATAAGACACACTGATAAATTAACAGCTGTAATGTAAGGTAAAGTACCCTTTACACAGCCCTGGTGCATCAGGGGTTTGGTGTTTGACCAATATTTGTATAAATCAGTCAGCATTCAATTGCTGACAGGTCAATATCTTGCTGGCTGCCTTTACTTCCCAGGAAAATACTTGGTATCCATTTGAAGCTGGGTCGATTCAAATCCACGGTCTTCGGACAAGCAGGCAAGTGACAAGCCACTGAGCTGCCACAGTTTTTTTAATGTAAAACAAGGTAAAGTACAGTAAATTAACTCTTTCAGTCCCAGGGGGTTAGGGATAAGAGGCCATAGGGGTAGAAAAGATCGACATAAAATTGGGGCATCTAATTCATTGGGCTTCTAGGTCCATGAACATATGATGCTGAAAGAGTTTTGTACTGAAAGAGTTAATGTAAAGTTAAGGACACTTTTCACGACTGAGGCACATCAGGCACATAGCGCTAGACCTATATTTTAAAGACCACTTGACACTGATAGGAGATGCAGTCAACATCATGCTGACTACCTTTACTTCCCAGGACTTTACCTGTTACCCATTTTAGATTATGCTAAACCTGGGAGCAAATGTTAATTTAAAAAACACAAACATGCTGCCTTGATGTGGATTTTAACCTTTCAACTTCAGATAAACAGATGAGGACGTGCCCCCTCACTACCGCAGCTGCCAGCTCCTGATTTACAATGTGCAATAGAAATTTAGCTGTACAAATGAGAAGTTTCATGGCCTCGTTAATCAAAGTCAAACAACACTAATTACAGGTAATTATACAATGGCTTTACTATTTCAAATAAACTAAAAAATACAGCCTAATTAATAAGCACATGGGGTCTGACGAAAATACGATTCTACAAATGTGTAAATTTATGTAAAATATTTTAATAATTGTAAACAGCATATTCTACAAACATTATGCAACCAGTGCCATACTTGGACATTATCAAAGGCTAACCTACATCAAATTAAAACACATGTGAAATGAGATACCTGAGAAAAGCCGCCAGCTGAACCATCCAAGATAAGGTTAGAAATGATACTATCAGACAGACTGTAGGAACAACACCATGCAGCAAAATTAATTGAGAAACAGAAGACAAAATGATTTGGTCATCTAGTAAGAACACAACCAGAACCACTATCAATGCAGGTGTTATGCATAAAAGGATATGAAGTGAAATCAAGAGGCTGTCCTAGGAGAAGATGAACTGATGACATTAAAGAGCTTCTACATCAACAAGGAATGACAAAAGCCATTGCTGCCCATCAAATAATGGATGATAACTGAACATCATAATAGAAAGGACCAATTTCAAAACAAAATAATTGTTTACCTGTGACTAAACTTCAAACTGTGATCACTTTTAGGGACTACACTAATTTTAACAGCAGACGTGGACTTCTTCCCATTGTAGCATGCCCAGTCATGCCCACGGACATCATGCGACCAACCACCAATGACTGTATCACAGTAACTGACAGCTCCCTCATAACGTGAGAATCCAAAATATTTTCTGCCGGCAACAACAACTTCAAATCCCTAAGGAAAAACAGGCGTATAAAAACTTTTCTTAGTGTACACTATAAATTCAAATGGATGTCAATGAAACAATAAGTTACAGTGTTTCAATGGTTAATTAGAGATTAAATTGTATTATATCGTCCAAAAAGACAAAAAGCTGTGAAGTAAGGTTAAAAAAATTGAAATAATGTAATAATAATTGTAAACAGCATATTCTACAAACACCATGATACCAGTGCCCGACTTAGACATTATCAGAGGTTAACCTACGTCAAATTAAAACACCTGTGAAATGAGATGCCTGAGAAAAGCCGCCAACTGTAGGAACAACACCAGGTAGCAAATTCATTGAGAAACAGAAGATAAAATTGTTTGGTCATCTAGTCAGAATGCAGCCAGAACCACTATCAATGCCGGCCTTATGCATGAAAGGATATGAAGTTTGAAATCAAGAGGCCGTCCTAGGAAGAAATATGCTGATGACGTTAAATAGCTTCTACATCAACAGGGAACGACAATAGCCACTGCTGCCCATCAAACAAGGGATCGCAAACTGTTCCTCCCCAAACGCTTAACGGCAAAAGTGGAAACTGATGATGATGATGATTCCACTCAAGAAATCAGAGGTAAAATAAAATAAACATATCTAATGATAGATCACCAAATAAAATCTAAAGGTTTTTAGGAGAAAGACAAAGATAATAAGAATTAACCAGACAAACAACATTCGAGTTTCTTTTGGTGATATTCCCCTCCAGGATGTGCAGTCATACACCTATTCTGGCAGTAATTTAGATTAAGATAGGAGAAACTGATAGAGATATTAAAATATGAATACAAAAGGCAAGACAAACTTTAATATACCTATGAAAATCTGTGAAAGTCAAAGGTTATTAAAACTAGCACTGAATGTAAAATATTTAGGGCTTATGTCAGTACTGCTGTATGGAGTAGATGAAACATGGAGAATAAAGACAATTGCTAATAAATAACAAAAACTTATTAACTGATGTGCAGAACAGATGATTTCAAATGGTATGATAGAATCACTGAAATAATTTAAATTTTTTTTTTTAAAGTTAGTTGCATATTTTTTATCAAAAGCTGCAGAACCAACTGCAGTACTGTTTGGTTGTTTGACTTCCTTAGGCAATTTTACATTCAGCAGTTTGCCATTGCTTACTAAACAGTCAGCTCTCAATATTAAATTTTCTGCAGCCAAGAATCACTAATGTGGAACTTTGGGAAAGAACTAAACAAATTTCAGTGAATCAAGAGCTGACAAAAAGACACTGGCACTCGATAGGACACACACTGAGAAAACTTAAGAACAATATAACTAGAATGTCTTTAAACTGGAACACATGGGCACAAAGAAATAAAGGCAGACCCAAACACACACAATACATGGGGAAGAGAGCTAGAGTGAAGTTATCTTCTTCTTCTTCTTCGCGTTCACCAGCTTTACACTCTGGCGGAAGGTTCTGGTTGCTCGTCCACTACTGAACTGCAGTCCTGCTCCAGAACCTGAGTGTTGCGTGTGCATCAGTTTTACAGATCTCATTCTCTTGAATACAGACTGTCGGTTCCTTGCCTCTCCGGCAGATGCACTCCGACTTCAAAGGAAGCTCCCCAATTAGTCGACTCTTACGACATGCTTTTGGGGAGGCAGTGAGTCTATTCTTGTTTTCCCCACAATGGGGCCCCAGAACCCACACGGGGAAGTGAAGTTATAAAGGATGGGGTGGACATAGGGGCAGCTGCATGTGACAGCAAAGGATAGGATGATTTGAAGTGAGTTGTATGCGGGTGTATTCTCCAGTAGGGATAAATTGGGGAAAAAAGAAGGGAAAGTTTCAAACTTTGTCCTCTTTTAAGCTGCCCGAAGACCTGCTTTATCGAAGAGAGGTTTCTTTGCTATCTTATTTGGGTTTGTTTCTTTGTGGTGATCATTTTTGCCTGAGTCTTAGGTAATTGGGAGCCCCTGTGGCGGAGCAGCTAGACGCTCGCCGCGGATCGGAAGGTCGTGGGTTTGCTTCCTGGAGGAGCCGGACTTTTTTCAAAAATGACCTTGGCTCCCAGGTCGACCCAGCCTTGAGTGGGTACCGGGTGCAGTCCCGGGAAGTAGAGGCGGCCAGCGTAATGATGACCACATCAACCAACCTGTGCCGATTGGTCTATAAAAATATAGGTCTAGCCCTATATGCCCTTTACGCCTAAAGGCATGGAAAAGGGTCCTTTACTTTTTTTTTACTTACTTAGGTGATTGGATACATGTCTGACGTAGTCTGGCTTAGCAAAGGGCTGTTTTTCCTGGCGTTCGGGAGGAGAGTCCGTTAGTCCTAGAAAGAACAAACGGGGGGCGGCCTGGTTTGGAAATGGGGGGATCTGCTGTAAGACCGGTGCTGCCGTTCTCTGCAAATGGCACTAGTTACTGTGACTCTGATTAATTTATATACTGACATATTTTTATATCATGATGACTTCCTGCCCAGATAACTTTCTTGCTATAGTCCACAAACAATATCTTATTATAATATGTTACCATAGGAAAAAAAATGTACACAAAAAACTCTACCTGGTTATAGATAAGGGTCCAGAATCCTCTATTGTTGAACTGATCAATGGCAATGTTAGGGTATATTAACTTCACTTTTTGTTTGTGTATTACTATAGAGACAAAAAACAAAATGGTTTTTTAGTTAATTATTCGAAAAACAGACCCTAATACTAATGTTGGGAGCCAATTTCAGTTTTTCAATCACCTGCGCACACATGCGGTAATTGTAACTGACTCGCACAATATGTTGAGAAAGGTGGAGACAGGCATGCTCCATGCAGAGTGGCAAGCATCAGTTTAGAGGTCCCGGGTAGTTAGCATCCTTTAAATATTTTCTCCAGGAATGGCGGTGTGTTGGGAAATGAGCAGGCAGAAAGATTGGCCGGTTCTGCACCGCTTGGTGATGAACTGATGTATAACAAGCTGGATGTTGTGAAGACTCTTTGAGAGCGATTGAACAGTGCCGAGGCACAGATAAATCATTGCGGTCTGGGGAGAATGGCACTGCTAGGAGTTACAAGGGGATTTGGCCGGCGATGAACACTCAGGGAAAAGGCAAGATAGATATACAATCAGACAGTTACTGGTGCCATCAGAATTGGAACTCTTCGCCTGCTGCTGAAGATAGGGACGGAGTGCTTAAGGGGGTTTCCCGATGGCTGCGATGTTGATCCTTAATTCAACATTCAACATTCAGTTTTTCAATAGCAAGAAATGAATAATACCTAACCAGCTCTTAACACTAAAACCCAACCACAGGATAATATCTCACATTGTTTACTTTTGGTCAGAACACAGTATACAAAAAATCTCTCTACTTGTGGTTAGCAGTTCTGTGGCGAGAGACTGGGCCCTATAGGATAGAACCTGATGCAATGAAGTCGATCCTGTTTACTTAAACTACAGAGACTCCCTGACATCGTGCTGTAGCAGAATTAATCCACCCACAGACTGCTTGATCCTCTAGGATTTAGGATAAGAGTTGGGTGCCCAGTGACAGTGCACTTTGATTATGAGATATCAGCTGAGAACACAAACGATAATGAAACCATGGTATCTATAAACTATGGGACATCACTGACACAGATTCTGTTTAGGTTCAACTTTGGGTGGGGTAAAGTGATGGAAACTGTGCTACTGAGAGCAACAACATAAACCTGGACTGTTCATGACTAGCAAAATAACCATAAATCTTCTGGCTCAACACCCCCATTCTCCCCCCCCCCCCCCCCCCTCCTTCCTTTTCAACACACATTCTTCCCTCAACAGTAATGAGAGCAAAAAAGCCAGGGGACACAAGTGACTGTACTATGGTAATGTTGAAACATAAATGGCCTGCAACCTGTTCAAGTGCTATACCTCAAATAGTTATGCCAGGGACAAGTGGGCAGGTCAAAGTTCACAGCATAGTTCTGTACATGCAGTGTGCTGCAAGTTGAGTTTTTATATTTGTCTCTGTTGTTGAATAAATGAAGACAGACAGGCATGTAAACCTTCCTTCCTTCCATTTGCTCCCCTCCAGGCTGCTACTGATGGTCTGACCACCCTCAGATGATAAAACCTTAGTCTGGATGACAATAGAGCAAATGCAACATACCTGGTTCAACTTCTAAAGAAGTTATAATTGGGGTAATGTACCAGCTACAGAGCCTGGTGAATACATGAACAGACAGGTCTATCCTTCCTTCCTTCCCTTTACCCCCTCTGAAGTGCTTTCTAAAGGTTTGACCACACTCAGATTATAAAATCTCAATCTAGATAGCAAGTCAACATGGTAAATCCAAGGTATCCCATTCAACCTCTATAGAAATTATAATTGGGGCACCCATATCAGCTAAACCAGCACAATGTAACCTGTAGTCTTGTGAAAATAAAGAATGTTATGACAGTTCAATAACACAGATTGGTCGCTCAGTGAATTACAAAAGACAGTCAAGTACATACTAGAGACAATACGGCATACATAGATCAACATAGATATTTAAAGCCAAAAAAAGAAAGTGAATCACATAGATATACCCATTTATAACTTACTAAAGGTTCAAAGTCTAGAGCTTGGCTACTCAACTGTGGCCCCCAGGCCAAATCTGACCCACAGAGGCCTAGGGATTGGTCTGCAGATAACTGCCAATCTCCATTTTCCACATTTTGGTCCTGGAGTAAACTTAGCTGAACAGCCCTGGTCTCAAGGATCAGTTTTTAGCGCACCAGGTTTTATCCTATATAGCAAAGTCTCAAATCATAGGCACATCTTCAATCAAACTTACTCGTCTGGAGAAAGAACTCGAGAAGAAAGGGATGACCTTCAGTATATCCAAAACTAAAACAATGGTGATTTCAAGACAGGCGAATGAACATCAGATAATAATTGGACAAATTGCATTTGAGCAAGTCAAGCAATTCAAATACACTTAAACTGTAAAAGACTAGAATGGGTGCATTAAGGCAGAGTTGGCTACTCGAAAAGAAACAGCAAAAGAGAAACTGGCAAGAAAATAAAAATGGCTACATATCACTCCACCTATATACCAGTTCTAATCTATGAGTGTGAGTCATGGTCAAGACAACAGCTCACAGAAACCGAGATTCAGGCTTCAAAAATGAAGTATCTGAGACAGGGGGTCCAAGTGGCAAGAAGGGATAAAGTTTACAACCAGACACAATCTTGAAATCCAGGCATTACAAACTCAGATGGATCACTGACAGTTATGATGGTTTGGACATGTATTCACAATAGGAAAAAATTGGCTACCATGGAAGGCATTGAAGGCCAAGAACCAGGAAACCAGACATCCAGGATGACCAGGCCAGGAATCATTGGGAAGACAAAATCCGACAGTCCCTCACTGACAAAGGACTGGAGGGCAGTGATCTTCAATCTTTTGACACCCGTGGCCCATCAAAACCAGGAAATTATTTCGCAAAAATTAAAATTTTCTGCTGATGTGACATCTTTTGATTCTCATACTTAAAGTATTAATCCCACACCCTGCATTCCCGGAAAAGAAAAACTACCAACCCTACACTGTCATATGATCATGAACGAAATGTGGGTGGCCCATCTGGACATTTCTGGGGCTCATCATAGGTCAGTAGCCCACCACTGGTCCGTGGCCCACCAGCTGAAGAACACTGATGTAGAGACAAAGTGACAGGAGAGGGTGTTTGGTCCCCAAGTTAATCTTTATCAGCAAAGGTGCCAGAACCTGAGAGCTGAGGCCACCCAAATAAAATGTTGGTAGGCAGGGGACACTGAGGCCCTCCTGCACCAGCAACAGTTTTGTAGGAAGGCTAAGCAGCCCCTCTAACATCATAGAAATTCTCTTTACAAGTATTTGTTTATATATTCCATATTATTTCAAATGCATTTATTTACCATTCAGCATATTATTATTGTTTTATAATTTTCCTAATCTACAAAGCCCCTGTGTGGCTTTCTGATCCCCATTGTGTGGAAAGGGGGCAGGGGTGGGGGAGTGTTCGACCCACTACCTACAAAAAACATGTTGTAAAAGCGGACTAATTAGGGGTTTCCTTCAAAGCTAGAGTATATCTGCCTAGGAGATAACTTGTCTGACAAGAAGAAGAAAAAGTAAAGAAAACATGTACGGTACCCCCCCCCCCCCCCACGCCTGGGGGGGGGGGGAATGGGTGGATGTAAAAAGACGGAGATGACTTCGTTGTCCTAGGTGTTATATAATTTAGTAGGCTCAGTCTCAGTCTCTCTTGGCCAACATTGTACGTGACTGCGTCGCACAACAAAGCATGTCATACTGAGAGAGATTTTGATAAAAAGGGGAATATCTGATGTTTCAATATATAAATATTTACCTGAGAAGTTATTGCATGTTATATTTCGGTGATTGTTGCCTGGTCCAATTTGGAACACCCATTCTCCTGCAATGTCCTCGTATGTGCAGTTTGCGGGGGTGTCTCCGGCCACTGTCGACAGCGCCAAGTAGACTAACATACACACAAACATACCAGTACGCGCTGTCTTTGTCATATTTGTACGATAATAACCGTATGGCTAGGTATTGTAAAATAAAATAATTTAACTACAACAACAACAAAATGTCCCAGCAACTGTTTTGTTTCTCCTTCGTTCAGTGTAAAGCGGCAAGCAGTGTCATGTGATCAAGAATCATGTGATCAGCAGAGTCATGTGATAACTTTTTTCGAAAGTTTTTTTCCACTTCCTTGTGTTCACCCGTTGTAAACTCAGGTAAAATTATTCGGTTATTCGTCCACATATGGACTTAAGTCTTTCGGTCCCAGATTATTTAACAAGAGAAGATGGAAATAACTTGGCCACGTTATGAGAATAAATCCTGATATACCTGCCAAAACAGCTCTCACACAGGCACACACACACACACACACGCACAGAGAGAGAGAGAGAGAGAGAGAGAGAGAGAGAGAGAGAGAGAGAGAGAGAGAGAGAGAGAGAGAGAGAAGCTCTTTAATGTCAACAATCCATCTTCTCCTAGGGCGGCATTTTACTCTGATTTCAGATCTTTGTATGCGTAGCGCCTGCGTTGGTTGCTGTTCTGGCTACACTCTTACTACATGACCAAACCATTTGATCTTTTGTTTCTGAGTGAATTTGCAAGATGGGTGTTTTTCCTACAGACTGTCTGATAATATCATTTCTAACTGTTTTATGGTCAAGTTAGCGGCTTTTCTCATACATCTCTCTTCTCTGGTGTTAATTTCTTCTTTTCTCATAATGTGGCTAAAACTAAAAGTAATGACTGCTTGTTTTTGATGTTTATGGTGCAGCGCAATATCGAACAGTTTTGTTACTCTACACCTAGTTAGTTAGTTAGTTAGTTAGTTAGTTGGGTTATCATCATTGCACTCCGGACATGTCCATAGGTGCTCAGATCCTCCCCTCAGTATGAATCCCAACGTCCAATGGCTAATAGTACCAGTTCTATGTTGATTAACAAGTCTTCTGACGTGTCCGGTGTGCGTCTCGTTTTTTGCTGTGCCGATCTTAATTCCCAAGTCTGCCATTCTGGCGAGTGATGTGGATTCACTGCCACCAAAGTCCTCTATCCTTCCCATTTCTCTGAGGGCATTGATAATATCAGCATGATCCATAGGCCGACCGTCGGTAGTGATAGCGGATCCAGCCAACCTGTCAGCTCTTTCATTTCCATCGACGCCTGCGTGTCCCGGAACAAAAATAAAGGTGACTCCTCGCACAGTGGACTTCTGAATTGATTCAAGCCATTGTCTTCGCACTGAACCTGCCTGAACCCTCCGGATCATACTCATTGAATCACTGAGTATACATATGCGGGTGTATTTTTGTGTTTCAAGCCAGGCAAACGCTTGCGTCACTGCCATCACCTCCATCGTCATGCTGCTGGTTGTCATGGAGAAGGCGCCGTTGGCTTCTTTGACTGTTCTGCCCCACTGAGCGTGCTGTAAATGCCCATGCGCTTCTTCTTTGGCGTATAACTGATCCGTCTGTATAGATTAGTGCATCTGCTTCGTCTGAATTTTCACCGATGAGAGCGTTGACCTCTGCATTAACAGCAACAGGATTCTCTTCTCTACATCGCCTGTTGAGTGTGACAATACAGGAAAATGTACAAATAAACGCCTGAGGCACAGGTATCCATTCTGCACCAGGTATGATGTCGGTTAGGCTGCATATTTGCCTAATAACATCTTCTGCCCGACCTAGCCACGATTTTCCCCTCTTCAGTCTGTCGCCCTTTTCACTAAAAAGCGCTTGATGCAGTGGGTGTTTCTTATCAGCACATATTTTGAGGTATGCCCGAGCCCTCCACATCTTGATCCTTTGGTTCATTGTTGGAAAGTCAAGTAGATACCTCATTGCTCCACAGGATGTGTCTCTTGTACATCCCAAAATAATACGCATGGCTTCATTTTGCACCTTCTCGAGTCGTTCAATCTGGGTAGCACTGACAGTGAGGATGGCCAGAGCGTATTCAATGGGGGAAAGGACCAGACCATAGAATAGAAGCACCAGCAGTCTTTGCTCGATATTGGAAGCAGCCATAATCCTCATTGCAGATAGACCTTTGCGTGCTTTTGTTATCGCATGGTCAACGTGTTCCCTGAATGACAAGCTGCGATCGAACCTCACCCCGAGAAACGTCATAACGTTGGTTCTGATCAATACATTATCACGCATTTTCACTTCTGGTAAGTCCGACTTGACAATGTGATTGTTCAAAGAGAACCATGACACTGATGCCTTCGAGGGATTGACATAGGCATTGGAACCATCACACCAGGCGGCAATTCGATCGAGTTCTTTGTGCATTGTGCTGGCGATCTCCTGTCTATCACGTCCTCGTCGATAAATCAAAATGTCATCAGCAAATGACAAAGTCCTTCCCTTCCCATTCAACTGCTGCTCAGTGATCATCACCGTATAAACATTGAATAAGACTGGTGATAGCGGTGATCCCTGTGGCAAGCCTGGACATATTGTTTGCGGTTCTGAGGACCAGCTACCACATCTTAGTACAATCTTTCTCTGGAACAGGACCGCAGCAATCCAGCGGATCAGAATAGGATTGACTTCTAGTTTAAGCAGTAATTGCATTAAATAATCATATGGTACTTTATTGTAGGCATCTTCTAAGTCCAACACTGCCGCACATGTCTCTTCTTTAATCTGAAATCCCTCGTACACATCGTAGGCGAAAACAGCAGCATTGAACCATGTCTCTTTCTTCAACCTGTACCCTCCAAGTGTTGATGGGAACTTATCATGTAGTTCCAAGTAGGTGGTCAATCTTTGTGCGACAATTTTTTCTAAAAGTTTGCCAACAGTATTCTGCATCGAGATGATTCTGTAGCCGCAGATCTTTGAGTGGTCTTTATTAGGCTTTGGTAGTGGGAACAAATAACTATGGAGCCATTCCTCTTGTATCTGGCCACTCTGGATGCTGATATTGAATTCCTTTGCCACGCTTTTCAAATCAGCATTCGACATCATCAGCATGTCATTGTATCGGATGCCGTCAGGGCCTGGAGCAGTGCTGCGCGATTTCTTGAGGCAAGTTCTTAAGGTGTCTGCAGTGATTGTGAAATCAGTGCCTAGCTCAGTGTTCTCGCACAGCATCGACAGTTTCATCTTAACCCCTATTCTTGCAGTTTCGTCTTTTTGGTCAGTTTGCTCCAAGTAGCGCGCAAGAAGGGTTTTTTCCTTTATCAGCATCAGTTCTCTCTGCCATATCAGGTCTGTACCCTGAAAATCAGGGATACCCCTTGGTCGTGCAGCGCCGTGCATGCTCCGTTGAAGGCGCCAGAATGTCACAAGAGATCCCTCGGAGCAAACGCTCTTGCAGAATTCGTTCCATTTCGCTGTCTTGGCTTCTTTGGCAATTGACTTGAAAGCCACTGTCCGCTTGTTAACCTCATCTTTTAGACTGATCAGGCGTTCAGAAAGTGACGGATCAATCTTCCTTGCCTTTTGCCATGCCTTGACAGCGTTCCTTTTTTCTAGCCACGCCATGTTGACTACTTCATTCCACCATGGTGGCTGGGCCCATCTCTCCCGCCGTCTGCGATCTGCTCTTGTTTTACGTCGTCTGATTTTGCTAATGGCATCTTGCCCTGTACGGTCATATAGAAAAGCAGGCTACTGCTACTCTACACCTAGTGCACAAGAAAGCACATCACAAATGTTTCTACTTCCGTTACAGTAATCATAATAACTGTAAATTGTAGTGGAGTGGCAAAGATAACATTTTTCGTGTTTATTGCAATAATGAAATCTGCAGGGTAATTATGTTGTTTTATTAAAGTATAAAATTAGTACGATGTCGATTTATATTGATTTAATCATCATTGACATGTAGCAGGTCTTTTGCTCTCCTGCCTCGGGCACTTTCATATCCAAGGAGTCACTTGCTCATATCATTTGTCCATCTTCGTGTTGGTCTGCTCCTGCCCATCTTTCCTGGTACCATGACGAATGCTATTATTTTGTCCAGTCTACCGTGGCGCTTGATAAAGCCACACAATTTTCGAGACAAGATGCTGTTTATTTTCCAATCGTTCTTGATGTTTTTTGAATGTCAGTATTTCTGTTCTTTTCTCTCCATAGTATTCTGACATTCTGAGAATGTTTCTACAGTCTTTCAATTCAAAAGCCCCTATTTTCTTCCATAAGGACTGCGAGATAGTCCACAACTCACATCAGTATGTTGTTACAGGCAAGGTAAATGCTCTCAAAATTTTAACTTTGATTCTTTGCCGTGCTTAACAATAGACTTTTAATGCCGTATTGCTTTCGCCATCCTCCTTTTGAGTTTTGCTGAACAGAACCATTTCCACTACTACTGTTTATTAGGAGACCTGATATTTAGAGTTGATGAAGATGACATTGAACTCCACCAGGACATCAGACCGAGCGATAAACACCCAGTGACAAAATGTACCACCATTAGAATGAGGATCACCCTGGGACTGGTCCCAGAAACGCCGTTCAAACCATATTTTGGGTTATATTAGGGCCCCGACAACAACCGGGTTGAGAGCTTTAAAATAACGAAAAATTGCGTCCATGTTGGGACGATACTGTTGGTTGATATTTAAAGTATGTGACATTTTAAGTGTCTTCATCATTTTTTTTTTTTTTTTCCCTCATGAACACCAGTTTTGTATACATGTTTTGTTTTCTTTAAATTCAAGAACAGGTTTGATCTTCCTTTTTTTCCTACAGGCATGTTTAAATGTTTTATTCCCTTTACATTGTTTGAAAGGGGGCCGTGCCATCCGCTTAGAGTCGTTTATGGTTTCCATGGCTTTTTGGCAAAATAATGTGGTATTTTCCCTTGCTTTCACACCCACAGCACTTTAGACTATGTCCTCTGTCTTTTTTTTTTTTTAACTAGGACAAGCAAGTTCCCTGCTCTGCGACACTCCAGCAAACAACTGTAGGTACTCCAGAGGTGTCCATTTATCCAAATGGATACTCGCTCCCTATAGCTACGTTGACCATGATTGATTGAC